ATCTGCTCACCGCGCTTGTAACAAGCTTGTTAACAAGTTGTGACAATGCTGTTTGAACAACTTGTCAACAAGATATTTCCTCAACGGGCTTGTAGCCAGCTTGTTAACAAGTTGTGACAATGCTGTTTCAAAAACATGTCAACAAGATATCTGCTCAACGCGCTTGTAACAAGCTTGTTAACAAGTTGTGACAATGCTGTTTGAACAACTTGTCAAAAAGATATTTCCTCAACGGGCTTGTAGGAAGCTTGTTAACAAGTTGTGACAATGCTGTTCCAAAAACTTGTCAACAAGATATTTCCTCAACGGGCTTGTAGCAAGCTTGTTAACAAGTTGCGACAATGCTGTTCCAACAACTTATCAACAAGATATTTCCTCAACGGGCTGGTAGCAAGCTTGTTAAGAGTTGTAACAATGCTGTTCCAACAAGCTGTCAACAAGATATCTGCTCAACGGGGTTGCAGCAAGCTTGTTAACAAGTTGTGACAATGCTGTTCCAACAACTTGTCAACAAAATATCTGCTCAAAGAGGTTGCAGCAAGCTTCTTAACAAGTTGTGACAATGCTGTTCCAACAACTTGTCCACAATATATTTCCTCAACAGGCTTGTAGCAAGCTTGTTAACAAGTTGTAACAATGCTGTTCCAACAACTTGTCAACAAGATATCTGCTCAACGGGGTTGCAGCAAGCTTGTTAACAAGTTGTGACAATGCTGTTCCAACAACTTGTCCACAATATATTTCCTCAACAGGCTTGTAGCAAGCTTGTTAACAAGTTGTGACAATGCTGTTCCAACAAACTTGTCAACAAGATATTTCCTCAACGGGCTTGTAGCAAGCTTGTTAACAAGTTGTGACAATGCTGTTCCAACAACTTGTCAACAAGACATTTCCTCAACGGGCTTCTAGCAAGCTTGTTAACAAGTTGTGACGATGCTGTTCCAAAAACTTGTCAACAAGATATCTGCTCAACGGGTTTGTAGCAAGCTTGTTAACAAGTTGTGACAATGCTGTTCCAAAAACTTGTCAACAAGATATCTGCTCAACGGGCTTGTAACAAGCTTGTTAACAAGTTGTGACAATGCTGTTCAACAACTTGTCAAAAAGATATCTTCTCAACAGGCTTGTGGCAAGCTTGTTAACAAGTTGTGACAATGCTGTTCCAAAAACTTGTCCACAATATATTTCCTCAACAGGCTTGTAGCAAGCTTGTTAACAAGTTGTGACAATGCTGTTCCAACAACTTGTCAACAAGACATTTCTTCGACGGGCTTGTAGCAAGCTTGTTAACAAGTTGTGACGATGCTGTTCCAAAACCTTGTCAACAAGATATCTGCTCAACGGGTTTGTAGCAAGCTTGTTAACAAGTTGTGACAATGCTGTTCCAAAAACTTGTCAACAAGATATCTGCTCAACGGGTTTGTAGCAAGCTTGTTAACAAGTTGTGACAATGCTGTTCCAAAAACTTGTCAACAAGATATCTGCTTAACGGGCTTGTAACAAGCTTGTTAACAAGTTGTGACAATGCTGTTTGAACAACTTGTCAACAAGATATTTCCTCAACGGGCTTGTAGCCAGCTTGTTAACAAGTTGTGACAATGCTGTTCGAACAACTTGTCAAAAAGATATTTCCTCAACGGGCTTGTAGGAAGCTTGTTAACAAGTTGTGACAATGCTGTTCCAAAAACTTGTCAACAAGACATTTCCTCAAAGGGCTTGTAGCAAGCTTGTTAACAAGTTGTGACAATGCTGTTCCAACAACTTATCAACAAGATATTTCCACAACGGGCTGGTAGCAAGCTTGTTAACAAGTTGTGACAATGCTGTTCCAACAACTTGTCAACAAGATATCTGCTCAACGGGGTTGCAGCAAGCTTGTTAACAAGTTGTGACAATGCTGTTCCAACAACTTGTCCACAATATATTTCCTCAACAGGCTTGTAGCAAGCTTGTTAACAAGTTGTGACAATGCTGTTCCAACAGCTTGTCAACAAGATATCTTCTCAACAGGCTTGTAGCAAGCTTGTTAACAAGTTGTGACAATGCTCTCCAAAAACTTGTCAACAAGATATCTGCTCAACGGGCTTGCAACAAGCTTGTTAACAGAATGCTGTTCCAACAACTTGTCAACAAGATATTTCCTCAACGGGCTTGTAGCAAGCTTGTTAACAAGTTGTGACAATGCAGTTCCAACAAACTTGTCAACAAGATATTTCCTCAACGGGCTTGTAGCAAGCTTGTTAACAAGTTGTGACGATGCTGTTCCAAAAACTTGTCAACAAGATATCTGCTCAACGGGTTTGTAGCAAGCTTGTTAACAAGTTGTGACAATGCTGTTCCAGCAACTTGTCAACAAGATATGTCCTCAACGGGTTTGTAGCAAGCTTGTTAACAAGTTGCGACAATGTTGTTCCAACAACTTATCAACAAGATATCTCTTTAACAGGTTTGTAGCAAGCTTGTTAACAAGTTGTGACATTACTGTTCCAACAACTTGTCAACAAGATATGTCCTCAACGGGTTTGTAGCAAGCTTGTTAACAAGTTGTGACAATGCTGATCCAGCAACTTGTCAACAAGATATGTCCTCAACGGGTTTGTAGCAAGCTTGTTAACAAGTTGTGACAATGTTGTTCCAACAACTTATCAACAAGATATCTCTTTAACAGGTTTGTAGCAAGCTTGTTAACAAGTTGTGACAATGCTGTTCCAACAACTTGTCAACAAGATATGTCCTCAACGGGTTTGTAGCAAGCTTGTTAACAAGTTGTGACAATGCTGTTCCAACAACTTGTCAACAAGATATTTCCTCAACGGGTTTGTAGCAAGCTTGTTAACAAGTTGTGACAATGCTGTTCCAAACACTTGTCAACAAGATATGTCCTCAACGGGTTTGTAGCAAGCTTGTTAACAAGTTGTGACAATGCTGTTCCAAAAACTTGGCAACAAGATATCTGCTCAACGGGCTTGTAACAAGCTTGTTAACAGGTTTTGACAATGCTGTTCCAAAAACTTGTCAACAAGATATTTCCTCAACGGGCTTGTAGCAAGCTTGTTAACAAGTTGTGACAGTGCTGTTCCAACAACTTGTCAAGAAGATATCTGCTCAGCCGGCTTGTAGCAAGCTTGTTAACAAGTTGTGACAATGCCGTTCCAACAACTTGTCAACAAGATATTTCCTCAACGGGCTTGTTGCAAGCTTGTTAACAAGTTGTGACAATGCTGTTCCAACAACTTGTGAACAAGATATTTCCTCAACGGGCTTGTTGCAAGCTTGTTAACAAGTTGTGACAATGCTGTTCCAACAACTTGTGAACAAGATATTTCCTCAATGGGCTTGTAGCAAGCTTGTTAACAAGTTGTAACAGTGCTGTTCCAAAAACTTGTGAACAAGATATTTCCTCAACGGGCTTGTAGCAAGCTTGTTAACAAGTTGTGACAACGCTGTTCCAAAAACTTGTCAACATTCCATTCTGATGGTATGGCAGCGAAACGCAAACGTAGCCTATTTCATTGTTCCGACAGCATTAGAGCAAAACTAATGACTTGATTATAAATGCAATGGAAATTTCCATAACATTTTCCATTTACAAATGAGGTATGCTTGGTAACCAGGCCAGGGACCACTTTTTTGAAATCAGGGACCATTTTACCGAAATCTGCTAGGCTCTCTCGCTGAAGCGTTCCGCACAGCACACCCAGGCATAAATTAAAACTTTTAAGACTTATTTAAATATATCAAAGCAGCGAATAGAGAGAGAGCCTGGGACTAGGCTGGCGATTGCTATTTCTATAGCACAAATTTACATCTGGAAACTGGATTTGATCAAATGCGCTTTACATCACGTATTACGCACTTTCGCTTACCTGATTAGTGATTACACACGTGCCCTACACGCGTAAAAATTGAGAAAATCAACAACTTGTTCCAGGTTGATATCAACAGGCGTGAACAAGGTTGTGCGGCCCACTATGAACAGTATTGTCAACATGTTGTTACAGCATTGTTCAACTGTAACAACTTGGAACAACATGGTTGACAACTTGTTCATAGTTGGCCGCACAACATTGTTCACGCCTGTCGATATCAACTTGGAACAACCTGTGCGTTTTTCAACCTCGTACCCAGGACTAGTCGCGAATTGAAGGCTGTCGCCCGCCTTCACTTCGCGACTAGTCCTGGGTACGAGGTTGTGCGTTTTTAGCCGTGTAGGCTATTTTATCTTTACAACAATTGTGATTTTACTTTCAGTGCTTATCTTAACCCACCCTGCCGACTATCCCTGTGGGAGGAAACCGGAGCACCCAGAGGAAACTCACGACTCTCGGCAGAGCGTTGACTGACTCTTTTGAGTCTTTTCACATGAGTCCGTAGCGAGAATCGAACCCACGAACTTAGAGGTGATTGGATTTGGAGTTTGGGTTAGGATAAAGAACTCATGTTAGGCTTAGGGTTGGATGCGGGTTAGGTGCTTTTATTGCTTAGAACAACATAAAAATAAGATTTTTTCTGTGTTGGTGTAATGTACTCAGGTGAATATGATGCTTGTGATGTTACTCTGAGTGTAGTATCCAAAGGTCGTAGGTTCGATTCCCACCGTGGTCAGGCATATTTTTCAAGCTTGCCCGGTGTGGATATACACTCAGAGTAACATCACAAGCAACATAAAAATAGCGCAAATCCGTCTTTATCTCATCAACCTACACCAACCTGCAATTTAAACACTCCGTGTTCCTAGGAGCTCTGGGAACGAGGATGGCCAAAAATAAGAGCTCGCGCGGGAGACAGGTAATGCGACGCAGGGGACATATTTAGAACATCCTGGTCTTCAAAGTGTAGTAAACGAATGTTGACAACAGCAACAAGGTGCCAAATCGTGATCCAAAGAATGCACGCGTGTTAGAATCGGCCCGCCCATAATCGCTGCCAATGACGTAGCGATTATTTGCATTTCCTTGAGAGATAAATGTCAAAATCTCGTTAATAACCCACTACAGTATCACAGAGACAGTATCGCTATATACAGTTAGCGACAACCATCTGTTTTGAGATATAGCAGAAAGTACATTAGACTAAGTTTTTCAAGACAAATCTGGATAGAATCTTTATATAGTATAGAAAGAAATAAAGAGACCAGTCATGGCATGTCCATTTTCAATTCATTCAATTGACAGCATACTCGCAGGACCCACACATCGGCCTAACTTAGTCAAATTAAAGCCCGCTACAGTACATATTCAACCTTGGCAATTCATAATCAATCCGAGACAGTCCACAGGTAAGGAAACCTATATCTGTATTATTCAGTATGATACCGAGAACGTTCGGAAAAATTGCTACAGATGTTCAATGACTGTTTGGCTGAGATGCATACTAGCTGTTTAAAAACAACTGTGACATGGTCAATAGTTTTATGTTTCTTGTTTTGTACATATATTTCCAGTGTTAGTCTGTTGACATTTACTAAATTTTGTTCTGCAGTACTGACTGTAGTAGTAGCGTACGTAGCGGTTACATACTAGATTATGGAGAAATATAGTGATAACATTTAGCGTTATTTGTTTTATATAATTTATCATAATTGTAACAATGGGTCAATGGATTGGTTTTTCGTTGGGTTCACTGCATGAGTGCATGAATCCATGATCGAAGAAGGCTCTATAGTATTGTGTCTGTAAATTTATCTCCGACTGCACATGATATATTAACTAAATTCTTGTCAATTTTAGATAATTATAAAAAAAGCCTTATAAACCGAAGACCTAGAAAAACTATGTTTTCATTAGTTAATAAAGAAAACTCCCAGATAATTATAAATATAGTTTTATTGTTTTATATTTGAATAAGTTTAGCGTGGTTTTAATTCGCGAGTTTTACTGGTGAGGACGAAATTCGGTATGACCTTTTCGGCCAGACTATATAGCTTGTGTATTAACTATAGATAGCACCATCTGTTGCAAACTTTCAAATTTGACTTCAAACCTTTAGCAAATCCAGTGTGGAGTTACAGTATGAACCTTTTAAATACTCCGGTATAAATTTTGTCGCGAAACAACGAAGTTTTGATGGTACATTGCTGTAGCGAACGATACATAAACGCACGATATGCTAATTAATCACGCGTGCGTTTTGCCGCGGGGTTAAATGCAAAAATTGAAGAACTTTTACTATAACTACATATATTAATGGAAAATACTTTCAACTGTACGAAAGTTTTAAAGTTAAATATCTTACGCTTTTGTGTTATTGGCTTGTTTTAAAATAATGAAACTCAGCAGAATAGCGATGCAAAAGATTTTAAACTACCATGTAGTAGCATAATGTAAATATTTTCTGCCTAGAATTTGCATGCAGTCGGAATTTGACCATTTGTCGATCCATCTATACACTAAACACGCCTATATATTGCTAACAATGAATGAGGAATATAGCGACCTCTCCAGTTTACATTGAAATACACAGTATAAGGCTCCTCCAAAAAACCTCAAACGGACCTCAATACAATATTGTTGGCCCAATGCCATCTAAAAATTTTCAAATAATGTTTTATAACGTTTCTTGTTTCGCAAATATTTTATTCAATTTTCTAGCAAAAGTTTCCAATCTGAGTAAACCAAAAAGATTGTCAAAAAGACTTAAAAAATAAGCAGCTTAGCCAAATATTTCAACATCGTTGTAGGAGTTTGTGACGAGGTCATCAGAGTCTTAAGTCTTAACCGTCCGCACTGATTAAATCATATTGTTGATACTGTAATCTCTGCATTCTTTAATTGAGAGTCTTATGCGAATTTAGCTGTAATAGTGTTCAATAATTAGGGATAATAGCCAGAATGACATTATCAACATTAATCATTATGCTGATTGAATGTGTTATCTGTAGTATGGGTCATTGAAACATTGTCTATCTTACAACAGATTTTGAAAGGAGTTTGCGCGCTAAAGCTATAAAACGTGCAGTGTTATTCATCAATTTGGGAATATTTTTGAATATTCTCGATTCAAGATGGTTGTTCTATGGACTAGTTCTTTTATTCCGCATTTGCGACGCAATTCTCTCACGATATCATATCGCCTCTAATTTCCTGCAACACTAGATTATTGCGGTTCTGAAAATACTCGTAGTCCGATTAGTCGCATCATCCTCATTATAAACGAGTAAATCCTAAGGATTTAGTTGTTATTTTGGTAATCCATCTTTCTAATTAGGCAAATGAGCATGAGAGAATTGATGATGGTTTGGCAAGGGCGCGTATATGGATATACAGTTTCTGAAACTCTTGTCATTAGATCAAATATAAGAACAAATATTACTTACACGCAAAACTAACAGTATTCTACAATATGTTGCGCTTCTTGCACTGACGGGATTTATGCCATCTGATGCATGCACGTTTCAGACTGCAGCGTACCATGTGTCGAACTTAATTGTATTCAAGATGCGTCGCTGGAGCGATACAAGAACGCCAGTGATTCAAACGGCGTACTTGATGATAAGGGTGGGGCACATTCGCGAGCGAATTCTAAATAGAATTCGAAACAAATAAGTGTATTTTTACATCACAAGATGGCGAACCTATGAATATACGTTTTCGCACATGAGAGATTCGACAAGCTCTGCCAAACCTGCGCCGAACTTTAGTCGCTCGAAATGCTACCACATGCAATTGTTTTTTACGTTCGTAGCTGTTGTTCTGTAATACCTAATGCGTCAGTAAGCTAAAGAACTTTCAGAGAAGTACCTATTATAACTTCTGAAGAAGAGCGTACTTACCGAAAGAAAGCTGTATTTCTGACGAAGAATGTGTTCCTTTCAAACGTCCAAATGATGAAAATTTTTAATCGGCTTAATTATTCTAAGGTCCTTACGAGCGACATTGATTCAAACGCCAGCCGCTCCATGTCATGTGCCAAACATAGCGCAACTTTTTTGCAGTTTGTTAGTATTAGATTCGCCATCTTGTAATGCATCGAGCATGTGCCCCTTGTCAATAAGTACTAGTCTATATAGTGAGTATACAAAATCAAACCAGTCCAACTTATTTCAGAGTGCTCCTTTTTTCCAGGAAGTACAGAACTGAGATTCTCACCATTCCCGCTCTCGACACGAAAGAGACGCAAGCGATATCGCACGATCTTTAGCGAGACTCAAATCGAGCTACTTGAAGAATTATACAAGACTACGCAGTATCCAGATCTCTACCAGAGAGAGAGCGTGGCTCTCCAAGCAGGATTGCACGAGGACAGAGTTGAGGTAGGCTAAATGATAAAGTACTGCGGTATGAAAGATATACAACTACCTATAAAGAACATAAACAGAACTTCGACTCTTCGCCGGAGCGAAGGGGTTTTTCGACTAGGTCTTTTTATTCCCAGCAAAACGTTCGGTTCGTTGGGATGCAACTACCTGAAAAATACAAGGAGAAATTCGACGTTTCGAGCGAAAGCCTAGCTTTATGACTCAAATATGGGATCAGATACCGGAAAAGATCAGAAGTTCGGTATCTTATGATTTGATCGATTTGCAAAAAGCTTTCTCCTCGACCTTTGTTTTTAGACATAAACCCACCTCGATGCTTTAACAGACTAGCAGATAATTCAGATAACTATGGGAATTACTATCGCAAGGACAGTGCTATCTCGGAAATCACGCGTGGGTGAACCTGGCCGGGAACATTGGCCATTGGGCTGACTGGCCATTGGGCTATTTCGTATTGTTTAAAAGTGCGCTTTTAGGGTGGGTATGAGTGTCGCTCGTCGGATTTCAAAACCAGTAATTTTGCAGTTTTGAAAGGGTCCATGTCTCTTTCAAAACGTCGCGGCTGTTGTCTGCCTTCCTCATGTCGCTGTCACAATTTCGACATAAATTCATGTCGTACGTCGCCGATAATTGTATTTGCTAATTGCTATATGTTGCCGGCATTGATTTCAATGCAATGTCGCATGCCGGAATTTTACCCTAACAGGGCCTCTTTATAATTCACTAAAACGCTGATAGCGTAATAATTTCTCCTGCAATCAGCCATCACACGCTTCTGAATGGCCTTGCTGAAAGAGATAAGAATATGTACTGTACATATTATTTGTGATAGTTTTGCCAAGAACACTATTTAATCCAGCACCGAAACATATATATAGAAAATAGAATGTCGTTTTATTTGAGATGATCCAATTTTGAAACTAAACATGACGGGCAATTAACGTTGTGGGAGTCTGGGAGAGTCCAGCCAGGAGGCTAGCTTTATTTGCGTCGTTTATCACTTCCATTGCTGTAATTTACACGAAAACAGCTTGCATGTAATCAAATTTTCCTTCACCCCATTGTGAATTGCGAATGTCAGGTCTGGTTAGTGCTGATTTTCCCTCTGAGCATATTTGTTTTAACTTTATCCAGTTGACACAAAATGATCTGACAAAAACGAGGCTACACCCTACGATTCTATATATAGCTATATATACAACATGAGCGGCTGTGTTGTAAGAACCTGTATCGGATACTGATACACAGGCAACACGGACGCGAATGTTGTAAATGGCTTGTGAAACGTCTTGATGATAAAAATTCGTATTCTTCAACAATTTAAAATTTAAAATAAATTAATGATATTTGATGAGAAAATTGAAGTTAAAGTTTATGTATAAATCAGCATGACTTTGTATCAGATGTACAAACTCATTCACGCTCATGATTCTAAGCCTTTTGTGTTTGCTCATGAATTATTAATGAGTTTCACGATGTTATACTCAGTATAATCTGAAATTACTTTGACCATTTTCTGTGACAAAAAATTCATTCACTATGTTATGATAGCAAGGTTAATCCATTATAACATCACAAGATGACGGTTTTTCAATTTATTCACGAACTTTTTTGAGCCATTAAATTTATCATTGCTCAAGGTGACAGTGTGCCCGCTGAACATAGCGATATTTAATTTCCTTTTATTACAGGTCTGGTTCAAAAACAGACGTGCGAGAGCTCGTAAAGTCAAAAGAGCGATCGAGAAAAAAACGTCAGAGGCGAAAAACAACGAGAACATCGCAACTGAGAAAGAAAAGGGGAAAGCAGAAGAGAGCGAAAAGACAGAGGAAGAGAATATAGCTAACAAATGTCATGACTAATTCCCAATATGGGGAGAAAATGAATATGGACGTATGATGATTAAAGAGCAAGGACGGATCTAAAGTCAAAAGCCATGCATTCGAGCAGTGAAGTTTGTCGCTTTGTGCTGAATAATCAGCGTGCGATATTGAATGATAATAGACCTTATTAGTATATGGACTTCAGAGATGTTGAGGAACATTAAAATTCATCTATCCGCAATTCCAATTATTTACCTCCAATGCAAGACTACAGCATATGATGAAAAGAATTAAAATTATTAACATTATTTTCTCACTTTGATGTAAATTCACATTGTAAACTGTAGTTGTGTAATAATGTTAGTAGAACCCGCTCATAGACGATATGTGTGGCAGTTTATTTTGACCGACAAATACGACAATCAACTAACAAGGTATTTAAATTATATGGACTGCATGCAGATAAATTGAAATAGCGCACATTAACATTAATAGCGCAGTAAAATATTTCGTGAACGTTTTGGTGATTGACGAAACCGATACTCCCAGGAAAGCGCGCACTTTGCCAGATCAGAATTTCCTGCGCAACATTCTTAATTGCTTGATACGTATAATGCCTTTAACAACCACGACATGACCGAACCATATGTCGACGAAGATTCGTGTAAATAAGTTTTACTTGTAAATTTTAGTAAATAAAATAGATTAGAGTTATGTAGTACCAATTTTTATCATAACTTAAGGTATTTCATAAAATAAAATAAAAAATTTCTGTTTTCACTGGCAGAAGGTACGCGCATGTTTAGATCAACACAATGCGGTCGGATCGGTGTGTCAATAATTGCAATTAGTTCGTTTTACTGCCTTAATTGTTTGATATCTAATGCTGTCATTACCAAAATATGATGGTTTTGGCAAAGTCAGTCAGTATATGTATAAACAACCGCTTTTCCTGGAGGGTATAGGGGAGCATGCAAGGGTCATCTTTTAATCGTTCAGGAGGGAACACCGGAAAATAACTTGTGCTGCACGGTAGACCGCCAATATACGCCAAAATCCAGCATGCTCATGAGCACGCTCAAATATATACCAAAATCCAATGAGGATACTGTATTTTGGTATATATGTGGGCGTGGAGAATCCCTAATTGTAGTATCTCATAAGCATGCACGCTCATAGTATATATACCATAATCCGTTGGTACTGGTCGTGCGCATCTGGATATTGTACTTTGGTACATATACGGGCGTGCTTATGAGGATCCCTTATTGTGGTGTCTCATAAGCACGCTCATATATATACCATAATCCGTTGGTACTGGTCGTGCTCATCTGGATATTGTATTTTGGTACATATATGGGCGTGCTTATGAGGATCCCTTATTGTGGTATCTCATAAGCACGCTCATATATATACCATAATCCGTTGGTACTGGTCGTGCTCATCTGGATATTGTATTTTGGTACATATATGGGCGTGCTTATGAGAATTCCTTGTTGTGGTATCTCATAAGCACGTTCATATATATATCATAATCCGTTGGTACTGGTCGTGCTCATCTGGATATCGTATTTTGGTACATATATGGGCGTGCTTATGAGAATCCCTTATTGTGGTATCTCACAAGCACGCTCATATATATATATATATATATATATATACCATAATCCGTTGGTACTGGTCGTGCTCACCAGGATATTGTATTTTGCCACATATATGTACGTGCTTATGAGAATCCCTTATGGTGGTGTCTCATAAGCACGCTCATACGCAATATGCTCAGGAAGCTGGATTTTGGTATATATACGGGGGTGCTCATAAGCATACATGAGATTTTGATCAATATATATATTTTTGATCAATATATATTTGGTATCTTATGAGCACGCCCATATATGTTCCAAAATCCAGCATGCTCATGATACGCTTATATAGGCCTACCAAAAACCGGTCATATGCTCAAGAGCATCATCAAGAGGGTACTGGATTTTGGTAATGGTATATATGCCAGGGTGCTCATGAGCATACTGAATTTTCAACATATATTAGGCAGCGTGCTTATGAGCATATGCCTTATATTTTGGTATCTCATGAGCACGTTCTTATATTTACCAAAAAACCGTGCTGGCTATAAGTATGCTGAAATTAAGTATTCCACAGTAATTGTTCCCGAAATGAGAATGTGCTGAAACTTCCCAGGCATGGAGTTTATGATATACTTAAAGTAAAATCACACAAAAAAGTCGGGGTCACCGAACTCATTAATAAGATATGACAATCACAATATACCACCTTCACCGGCCCCAATAGTGCGCCATCTTGACGCTCATTACGAGTAACAGCAAAATCACAACAGCCCGATATTTATTGACGTTTTTAGCTGGATTTTGCTTTAGTAAACCTATATCTATAAATGATCTATAAATGTCTTTTCCACATTTCTTTACATATCTTTCTTTGAGAACATGCATTGACAAAGGATTTTTTTTCGAGATCCAGAAATGATTTTTCTTTTAATTTCGGACATGAAATGTAAAATGCATTAAAGAAATAAATTATCAGTTAAATAACGGGGGTCACCGATCTTTTTAGGAAATTGTGGCATTAAAACGTGAAGTACAAGTAAATAAATATACTACAGACACAAGGAACCCTAGATACACTTTTGCATGCCTTTTTTGAAAACATTGACTTTAACGTAATTCTTTGCACGAATGTAGCCAAAGATGTTTTGAAGTAACATAAAATTGTCATAAAATGATTAGTTTAATTTAAACGGTACGTATAATGGATGAAATTATAAGTTATAAGATGTGCGCAGTAAAAGTGCGCAATGCAAAACTGCGGAATTACCTTAATGCGGTATGCTTTATATAGCCACAAACTACCGTGGGTATAACGGCTGGACTGCTAACTATCATTCACTCTCATCTGGGTTTGATCCGGACTGAATGAGGGCCGGAGGGGAGGGGGTGTTTTTTTGTTGCTCACTCCCCCCCCCCCCCCAAAGGGAGAAAGCTCGCGACGGCGCTGGGCTCAATACACAATCCTGAGTTTTATCTCCACATATATGTGAGTGATTTATCTATGCACGGAAATTTTTTTCAAAAAGCAACAAATTAAAGTTAAAAAACTCTACATATTCAAGTGAAAATTCGTCCAAAACGTACTGCTTTGCATTCGACACAAAGCACGTCGGTAAAAAACACGAAAATATGAATTTCTTCTTTCTTGCTTGCAACGTGGCGTACTCCAATTGTTTTGCAATGTGGATTTTCAATAATTTCAAATGCTCGGTATAAATTGTTGCTACCCAATGTGGGCATTTTACTCTTGGAGATAGGCGGCCGTGACTGAAGCATTGTATGTCTTTTTGGCTTTGATTTTTCTCTGATACAAACAAGCAATCGTCTTCGTTCACTAGACCACAAGCAGTATTGCACGAATTAGCTTTGAATGGTTCCCAATCAATGATCAAAGTGTCTTTATGAAGAACACTGTCCAATCTACCTTCTGATATAGCTCTTTGAAATTCCATAATATCCATACTCCGAACTTTCTCATTTTCGCAAGCAAGTTCAGATCGATTGAAAAAAGTTGCTGAATTAACATAAAATGCGACGATTCCTAACTCCAGCACAAGGTTTTCGCCGGCAGATTTTCTTTGAATAGCTAACCGGCTAACATTTGTCGACATTGTGGTATACCGCTCTGTTATAACACTCGGGAAATGGGTTTGAACGTAGCGCTGTTCTGCAAGGATTAAAACGGTGCTAATTCCTTGACCGCGGTATTTCGGATGAACTCGCAAACTTTGGCTCACTACCGTATTTCCCCCATCGACAATATGAAAAGCTCGTATTCCTATAACCGCCCCTCCCTTTTCGGCGACTATGACTCTTCGATTCGGTTCGTCAAGCCATCGTAGAAAGACAAGGGGGAGATAGTCGTGTCCTTCGTAGATGCCTTTTGATAGTTCGATGATGGATGCCAAGTCGGTTTTTCTTGCAAGGCGAATTTGAATGTCCATGATTTCGAGAATGTTTGAAAAAAATGCTGACTAGGTTGTGCAGTTGGCGATATGTAAATATAACTGTCTAAATGCATGTTCATTATATATGCCATGTGGTGTGAATGCAGGTGTATGGAGACGAGCTAGTCGCAATTAATTTCTGCCCACTTGACACATTTGCACCGTAAATTCACTGTAGTTGTTGTATCAAAACGTAGGCCCATGATGCAAGCCCACGCAAACACGATTACACGACATCATAGGACATAGAAAACATTATTGTGAAAAGGCGCTAATTTTATAATTTCGTATTCAGGAACGAATGTATGCCCAAAGGGAGTGTTCATTATCAGGGACGCCGGAACTGGGGGGCAGGGGGGGCGGCGGCTGCCCCCTTGCCTTTTGCTAGGGGGGGCAGGGGGGGCAGAGGTGCCCTTTTAGTTGTAAAATACTACGTGATAAATCACATTTCCAACGATGCTTTTTGTAGGAAAATCATGAGATTCAGGTAATTTATAGTTTATATATAAAAATTTTGGAACATTTTTGGAATTTAGAAAAATATTTTGAAGAAATGGCGAAAATTTAAGATATGCGAAAAGATTTTTGTCTTCACGAAAAATTTTGGTATGTTTTTGACCAAAAACTTTTTGACCCCTAAAATGGTACAGACCGAAATTTTTTTGGCGATGGGGGGGGAGGGGGTGGGGGGAAGTCGCCATAAAAATTTCGATTGAAAAAAAATTTTCCGGTAGATTTTGAATTTTTGCTCTATAGAGGTGCCCTTGGTGTGCGTCCGCCCCCCTTTGCCTTATTATCGTTCCGGCGTCCCTGTTCATTATTTATGGTTTCGGGGAAGTGGTGGTGAAATCGTAGGGGGCGAGGCAAAAAAGTTTGGTATTTGTTTTTGGGGGGTCACCAGAGTTTGAGGAATAATTGGGTGGGGGAGTCATGAAAGTTTTAGTTCTGGCAATGTTTTGACCTCTTTATGAGTCTTGCTGTTGCCAGAGGGGGAGGAAGGAGGTGTGAAATGCAGCCCCCTCCCCCTAAACCATAAATAATGAACACACGCGCAGGCCAACAGACACTTTATTAGGCTTTTAGAATGTCGACTTCATGGTTTTGTATATGATTTTGGATGGTGAATTGGGTACAGAGTTATCGCGTAGCTAACTAGACCCGCCCGCTTAACAATAACTTCAAATTAAACGTCTGCTTTGCCGGCTATTTAGTGGCCAACGGGTAGAGCAGCGATCTAGTTAAAATGTCAGTGAAAAAGATTAATATTCGACCAAAAGAAATTATTTTATACTCGAATGGCAAAATTCACACATTTTCTTTCAATTCATAAAAACGTAACATAATTAGCAGTAGTTTAAATACCCCACGCGCACATTTGCCTGCATTGTCATTTTCTCAAGTCACTGAGCATAAAATTGAAATAAGTTTGGCTTTATTTATACAGAGAGCTGCAGTTGCAGTATGGCTTTGTCGTTCATATATTTTATGGGTTTGATGATATTCATTTAACTTGTTAAAATAAAATTAAATAACTCCTAAAGTTATTAATTATAAGTTGTCTTCCTACAATTTGTTTCAATTTCTTCCGCAAATTAACGAATAATTTTATTAAATATCGAAAACCTACCGCCAAATTTTTCCCTTCTTTTCATCGGCCATTGAAACGTCCTTATTCGCTTCCGTTGAAAGACCCAACACATTCTTGAACACATTTTGAGTATCCAGCTTAGAGACGTTGTCAAATTAAACTCAAAAAATTAAAATATTAAAGAATGTTTTTTAAAAATTGAAGATTTTTCAAACTTCGTTGTTTTTCCCGCCACTTTTGTTGCTTTTAACTGCGTGTAGTCACGCGTGTAGTCCACGAATAGCGCAGAATGAGGATGCCATCAACTGATCCTGGGAGGTTGGGAGGGCAAATTTTCCTTACAAGAGCATTTTTCTATATATTTATGAAATACAACAGTTTATGAAATACAGATACATAAAAATGCATTATACCAAACAGTGTTCAGTTTATACTTTGTTACAGTGGCCGTATAAAGTATACTGGTCAAATTTATATTTGCTTGCTATTCAAATTTAATGTTGTTATTCACTGGAAAATTCCAAATTGAGTTATAATTAAACAAGTTTATTTATAATACTTTTATTAGAATACACTAGTATTATGAGAACTTATAGTTTTGTCTCTCTTAAAGAGAAACTTTTATTGTCATATTTCACCGTCTTTTTTTGCGTGCCTCGAAGTAGCAAAGATCGTCCAACAAGTAAAATCATTTCCCCCTCATGGGCAAGTGTCAGAGCCGTATGCATTGTCCTCGTACTGGTCATCACATCTGCGCCTGCGGCGATCATGACAGCGGCACATGGCACGTGATTCGCCACCACCGCGCAATGCAATGGGGTGAATCCGGCCTGGTCTTGAATGCCGACTTTTGCACCCGCATTTATCAAAATCTGTGCGCATTGGTAGTTTCCGACACTGCAAGCCGTATGAAGCAAGGTTTTTCCGTAATAATCTCTCGCGTTTAAGTTTATGCTTTTAGAGTTTATAAAACTCACAAGTTTATGTCGAATGTCTTTTGTGATTGCTAGTTCAAGCTCAAATCTGGTCACCAAAATTCGTGAATCTCTTTTTGTTATCTCACTGCTGTGCCTGAATTTAAAGCTATTTTTTAGTCTAGCGGTAACGCTTGCCCCGGTCGGCGTTTTGTCCACGGGTTTTGTCCCATACCTTTTGTCCCGGTGATCTTGATCAGCTTGAGAACTTAGTGTATTTTGGTCCGAGGGAATAAGATTATCCGGACATGATAATCGGTTAATCACCTTAGGGCGCGATTTAGCAGCTACAGACAAACACGAGGAGCTTAAACTTCTTAATAACAAGGGTTTAGACTTAATCTTTTTCTGTTCGCTTTTTTTTGTGCGGCTAGCTTGTGAAGCGCTTTCGTGTTCAGAGCGCTCGTGGGTAGGCATAAAGCACGGTATCTTTCTGTCACATAACTTTTTGAAGGAGTATTTTTTCTGTTCTTGTTGCTGTGTTGTTAATTTTGATGTACTGAATGACTTTGCGTGCTTGAGTGTTTGTTCAGGCTTACTTTCATGTTCTTCTATAGTCTGACATATTCCTTGGAGTTGAAACGCAGAGGTCGTTCTTTCAATAGATGGATGTGAGGATTCCTGCTTCCTTACACTATGAATAGAGTTCACGTCTGTCTCGCTCTTTAAACATGCTTTTTCTTGCTCAAAAAGATCTGTAGTCGAAACCCGCATCGGTACAGGTCTTCGATAGTCTTTCATGTCAAGATTACTTGTACTATAGCTTCGAAATACCTGTCTTGTGCGCGGATATTCCCCGCATAAATTCATCATTCACTATGAAGGAAAACTTTCACAGCTTATTCAAATAGCGTAAACACCAAAATCTCAGCTCTTTGACACACTAGAAACAGCTTCTACTCTTGAAAGACGTGCCGTGTGAATGTTTGAGCCTAACACAAACTCGGCATCAAAGGAACTGACCGAATACTTTTCTTTAGCGAAAATTTTCGTGGGCGATTTCACAAAGCCCGTAATGACCTGGACATTGTTCGATAACGAATTTACGATAAACAAACTTGATGGGTTTCTAGGGAGACAAAATGCTAAAGACAAAATAGAAAAGCATTCGGTCATTATAGGATAAAGCATTGTCTAGGAAGCAAGAAGTAATTTAGATTGAAGTAATTTAGATTGAAAAGAGAAACAAAATCGGTCATGCGGTTGGCATGTTGTGTGCATGATAGGATCATGCATCTGCATGGCACGTGGTTAGATCTGGATGAGGTAGTAAAATGTAGCTCGGCAATTTAAGATATACGTACTGTAGAACCAATTCAATGTGAATAGAGACATATTAGACTGGTTTACACTATCAAAGTTTCTGTGATCACAGTAGAAATTTTGGATCGGTCCGGCGGTCTGTGGCTATCAAGTATGCCAGATTTCAGTATACTTTTTAGCTACGGCGGTCTGTGGCTATCAAGTATACCAGATTTTAGTATACTTTTTAGCCACGGCGGTCTGTGGCTATCAAGTATACCAGATTTCAGTAAACGTTTTAGCCACGGCGGTCTGTGGCTATCAAGTATACCAGATTTCAGTATACTTTTTAGCCACGGCGGTCTGTGGCTATCAAGGATACCAGATTTCAGTATACTTTTTAGCCACGGCGGTCTGTGGCTATCAAGGATACCAGATTTCAGTATACTTTTTAGCCACGGCGGTTTGTGGCTATCAAGTATGCCAGATTTCAGTATACTTTTTAGCTACGGCGGTCTGTGGCTATCAAGTATACCACATTTTAGTATACTTTTTAGCCACGGCGGTCTGTGGCTATCAAGTATACCAGATTTCAGTATACTTTTCAGTTAGCCACGGCGGTTTGTGGCTATCAAGTATGCCAGATTTCAGTATACTTTTTAGCTACGGCGGTCTGTGGCTATCAAGTATACCAGATTTCAGTATACTTTTTAGCCACGGCGGTCTGTGGCTAAAAAGTATATCAGATTTCACTATACTTTTAGCCACGAGGGTCTGTGGCTAAAAAGTATATCAGATTTCAGTATACTTTTTAGCCACGGCGGTCTGTGGCTAAAAATGTAGCAGATTTCACTATACCTTTAGCCACGAGGGTCTGAGGCTAAAAAGTATATCAGATTTGACAGATTTCAGTATAGTTTTTAGCCACGAGGGTCTGTGGCTAAAAAGTATACCAGATTTCAGTATACTTTTTAGCCACGGCGGTCTGTTCCTAAAAAAGTATATCAGATTTTACTATACTTTTAGCCACGAGGGTCTGTGGCTAAAAAGTATATCAGATTTCAGTATACTTTTTAGCCACGGCGGTCTGTGGCTAAAAAGTATATCAGATTTCACTATACTTTTAGCCACGAGGGTCTGTTGCTAAAAAGTATGCCAGATTTCAGTATACTTTTAGCCATGAGGATCTGTGGTTATAAAGTATACCAGATTTCAGTATTCCTTTTAGCCACAGCGGTTTGTGTCTATAAGGTATATGAGTTCAGTATACTTTATGGCGACGGCAGTTTGTTGTTATAAAGTGTAACTGATTTCACTTTACCTAGTAGCCACTGCGGTTTGTGGCTGCCTATAAAGCATACCGGATTTCAGCATCAGTTAATATAGTCACGGCAGTCTGTGGCTATAAAGCATACCGGATTTCAGGATGCTTATAAGCAGGCCCGTTTGTGGCTATAGAAGCATACCGGGTTTCACATGGACGGACTTGCAAGTGTACCCAAAACAAAAGAGCGGGTTAAATCATAGGTTAAATTTAGCGCTGGGAAAAACCCAAAAACCATGGTATATAAAAGGTTTACATGAAGTATGCGTCATGCACAATATGGCGGCCGAAAGTTTATTTGAAAATAAGTGTAAATTTTCAGCTAGAAACCTTCTTTGGGGGACATTTTTCAAGTTTGTTCTTTTACAGATTGTTATAACAAGCTAGGTGGAAACGTCTGAAGCATGGCGGAGAAGCGAAAAATTGGAGCCTCGCTTAGCGACAGTGACGATGAAGTTTGCGATGTCAAAAGACGAAACACCTTCGTTACTTCAATGTATCAAGAAAACGAAAGTAGTCCGAGTAAAGGGATGATGGTTAATAGTGACAGTACGGATGGCTCAAAATCTTTTTCGGGCTACAATGATTTCTCCTTAAAATTGATGGTAATTTTTTTTTTAATTTAATTAAAGAACATGAAATGCAGTAAAACTTTATAAAGTGAAAGTAAATTAGTAATTCATGTTTCAAATAACCAATGATTCAGCAATATTATCAGAATAGGCATTATGTTTACGCTTTATATATCCATTGCATTGTAACATTTTCGTAGCATTGAGAATGTTTTTAAAGCTTTCAAGATACCCTTGTTTTAAATTCAGCATGCTTTTTTAGAATCACAGCTAGTGGAAGTGGAACCAATGCCGGATTTTGGTGGAAATAGTGAGGGAGGTGGAAAAAAAATTTAGGAGAGGTGCAAATGTCTAGCTCACGACCCCCATGGAAAGTTAGGCCAAAGGCAACGACGTGACATATTATGCATGTCTACAGTGTACATATGTATCAGTGTATTAATGGATTGTGACTGTATACAACTCATCCAATTTTGCCCTTATTACAATTAGTACAAAGTTTCTTTCAAAACATGGCATTAAAAGGGTACTTGATACAGAGATGAGTGGCTATCACTGTTTCAATTTTACAGAAAAACGTTCTTATGAAGTGTAGACCTTAAGCAACTAAAAAATGACAAATTTTCACTTTGATCTATCATTGAAACTTCCCCAAGGGGATAACGTTTCAGTGGGGGTGCAAAAAATTCTCAGCCTGGGAGATGCAAGACAATCTTAGGTGAGGTGCAGACCTCCTCTCAAAATCTGGCCATGAGTGAAACTAGGGTGAATTCCACCATTCAGCCCTCGAAAACCGTCAAAGTTGAGGTCGGCAAAAAAATGCCGACCTAAATCTGACCTAGGTCGGCACGTCTCACGTATTTACAAATCATTGAAATCGGAATATAAAGCATGTTTTTCAGCAGAAATGCGAACTACAGTAACACTACGGCTTTTCTTTTGAAGTCGATCTTACCTAAATTATATATAGAATACCCATCAATTTTTAAACCTTACAACGAAGTGTGTTTAGTTAATCAAACTATGAAACTACGAATTGAATTCTATATTTCGCTGACTTTTTAACAGCAATCAGCACCAAAAAATTCTTATTTTTGCTGAATTAAAGTTGGCAAAAATTTGCCGACCTGGGAGGTTGATAGGTCGGCATTCGCAGGGCCGGATTTACGTCGCGTGAGGCCCGTGGCAGATTTTCAGCGCGAGGCCCCCAAGTTGGAGCCCCAACCCCCTCCTCCCCTTTATGAAAACCTTTGAATTCAAAGACACATAATTGCTAAATAATTGTTTTCAAATCACTGCAATTTCGCAGCCAAGCTAGCAGGCCACCAGGATTTCTAAATAATTTTCCGTTACGTTAAAACTGGTTTCAAACATCAATGAAACCTTTATATTTTGCTAATATGGGTGCTTGATTGCTTGAACAACCTGGATTAATTGTGACGATTTGTTGGATATAATTGGGTCTTACAAACACATTTTCAGTATAACATAACAAAACGTTAACGATTAACATGGCTAAAAATAGCACAAGCATTGGTGTCTATAATCAGCGCAACTGGAGATTACATGCATACGGGTATTGCATATTTTCCTGGGGCCAACTGCCAAGCCTTAAAGGGGCCCTAAATGCGCAAGGTCCCTAAATTCGTGAGGCATCTAAATTCGGAAGGCACCTAAATTGGGCGTGTCCCAATAGGAAATGGGCGTGTTCTCGTAAGAATGGGCGTGGTACAGTAAAGCGCGAGGCCCCCATAAGCGCGAGGCCTGCGGCATATGCCGCATCTGCCATGTGGTTAATCCGGTCCTGGGCATTCGGCAATGCCGACCTCGTTTTTGAGGGCTGACCATTTGCTTAAACATGAGTAAAGCCTTGGTCAAGTGAGGATCAGAGTTGCAACTCTCACTTGCATTTCACCACCAACCGTCATCAACTTTAAACTGGTTCAACTCTGAGATTTGAGGAGAGTTTTTGCTATGTGCATGTGTTTGCCCTACTTCCTATATTTTCAAAAACATTCCCAAAATATGAAATCCTAACCAAGTCCTAAACTTGTGTATTGTAGGGCAAGATGGGTTTCCAAATTGGCGAAGGCTTGGGAAAGTTTGGTCAGGGTCGTTCAAATATTGTCGAAGCGTCAAAACAAAGAGGAAGGCGTGGTCTTGGATTTGAAATCGAAGGACTCGAAGCTGACGATGTGGAGTGGGTTGAAACAGATAAAGAGGTAACAGAGAATTAGAATTTTGAAGAACGGCTGCTTGGGTGCCTAAAAGAAACACAATAAATAGTGATTTCAAAATTCTTAGGAAACAAAGCTGTGTTTATATTTACAGAGTGTTGTAAACAGATTTTGCTAGGCTATATTTATGGCACCTATAGCAGATTGGCCTCATTGGCATCTGTTATAACACACCTCACAATGCAATAGTAAATTCAGCCCCTCATGAATACACACATGTCACCCCCCCTCCACCCCCCACCCCCCGACAGAGGATTCTCTCACCTTCAAAAATACCTTGCGTTGTAATAGCATTTTGTTTTTTAGGTGGAAGTCCGGGAGACACCAGATTGGATTCCTTCATGTGAACTTGATCCACCAACCAGAAATGATATGAACGATTGGATGGATGTAAATCAGAAAAAGACGATAATAAGTGATGAAACAGAATTTTGCAGTGAAGAAATTTTGCATGGAGTTCTTACGTGTAAGGTAATGATGCCTTTTAGATTGACTGAAAATAAAACTATGCCTGCCTACTCTAAATAATTCTGGGTGAATTCCATGTTTCTTGCATTAGACAGAGTAAAATATTAAAGTAGGGCACATTGAGGCATAATGCAACTCAATGGGTTAATTACAAATTTATCATAATAAATTTTATCACTGCACATTTTTACTGTTTATCTCTGCACACTTTCATTTTATCATGAGTAAATCCATTTACCAAGTCAAATCCGAAACAATCTGAGCCCGAACTCGTCAATTCTGAGCCCGAGTCATTAAACGTCCGAGTCACATAAAAAAAGATGAAATTGAATAAAATTCACAAATGAATCAAATAGGGTCAGGGTTACTGGTAGAGTTAGGGTACTAAGTCATTGAACTACAAAGACCACTAAACAGTGACTTGGACATTTGACTTGGGGTCGGATTTGACTCTGGCTCGAATTTGACTCTATTTAGTCTATTAACCGACAAACTCACTTTAACCTCTAACGCACTCGAGCTTAAGCAAGCAATTCTTTTGGAGGGTGTAGCTCTGTTGGAGAGGTTCCGGCTGCTTAGTTTACTCGGCAAGCCGGCTTACGATGAACTCCATTCTGCGCAGCTGTCTTCTCGGTAGAAGAGACTTTCAGCCATCCCAGCATCCCGACTTGACTAATATCAATGATGCCTAGAATTAGCCTCTCCAAGGACAGAGCTAACGTCACACCACAGGTGGAAACGGAATTAAATAGAATAGTAACATAAACGTACGAGAAATCTTACCTGGTAAGCATACAAAGCCGAGCACAACGAACTATATGCACCTACCGACCAAAGGGAAACCAAAAAAAACTCGCTGGATAACGCAGG